GTCGGAACTCAGTCGCCCCTATGGGACCTGGAACTAAAAGGTGATCACCTTTTGGGGCCATGACTTTCCTATCGACCAAAATAGGAAAACCAAAAGGTCAAAAGGTCGATTCGCTTCGAACAACTGAGAAAACGTTCAAGTAATGCGTTATTTCACCGAATCAAAACAGAACACTGCTTTGTTGGATGAAACCGAGCAAACTAAAACAACTTGGACCTAATGTTGAACCCCCCCTTCCAATTGATAGGGGGCGGCTCCCTTCTTGAATCCCCACTAAAGCCCCCCCCAATCAAAACCAACCAGGGGCTCTCAGTTGCACAAAGGAGCTGGAAATAAACAGTCAACCCTTCATGGCCATGACTAAGACTGACGAACTTTCAGAAATGGAGAAACCAACAGGTCAACTTTGGGCAAGGAAGATTCCCCAATGGTGGTCAAATTTGAGAAACACCTTTAGAGCTGAGATTTGGCGTGCCAAGCTGGAAGCCATAGGCTACAGTTCCATGGTTGGCTGCACAGTACAGAAGACAAATGCTCACTTGCTGAGTGGATGGCCCAGGAAGAGTCCGACCTTTATATTTACTACTAAAATGGTCCAACCCCAAAAAGTCTAAAGTTCATGAACTCAGGAAGACTACTAAAATGGTCCAACCCCAAAAAGTTTATTAAAGTTCATGAACCCAGGAAGTGAGACTAAGTCCCAACTTGAAAACTTGTATCTCACTTTGACCATTCCTCCCGGGCATCTCCCATTGGATCGAGGGCCGCACTGGCCGGGCCTCGACTCGAGCAGTGCTGCAGGGGAAGAGCGCAAGAAGTGGAGGGGACCGCAAGAATGACCGAGCTCCCCGAGACACAAAATATTTTACAAAAAGGAACCCTCCCAACTCCCAACACTGGCAGAAAAGAACAAACATTGGAACCCCTTGACTCATTGACCGTTTGTGGGAAACTTTTCCACAAGAATGATCTAGCTCCCCGCGCCACAAAAATCAACAACATGTGGAACCCCTTGACCATTTGTGAGAAACTTGATGCAATACTGATCCTGTATAGATGGAACCTATTTCGGGGTCCACTTCTAGACTGAGTCTGCCTGCATATTCATAAACCAGAGCCAGTTTGGGCCTACTGGTGCTCCAGGACCGATGGTCAATCAAATCTACCCAAAGATAGCTTGGTTGCTGTGGACCCCTCTACCAAAAGTTTTTACTTGTGCAGATCCAATCCAACAGTTTCAACAAAAAGCTAAGTCTTTTTAAAGATCCAACCCCAGAGCCATACAGAAAAGGGGCCATACCAGGGCGAACATGGGAGCAAACACCTGCCGGCAACGGACGGTGCCCAGCTTTTTGGGGGGGCAACTTGAACAGGCCGAGTGGATGTCTGGCCAACCTGCCTTATAGCAAGCTGGCACCATCAGAAAGCTGGAAAGCTGCCCATTATTTTTGCTCTTGGATTAATGCAAGCCCTTGCTTATACGCTTCTAAAGCTTTGCCACGCAGATTGCGGGGCGGGTCTTTGTGAATCCAAGTATCACCTTCTTTACACCAATTAGCTTCCGGAGGCCTGGTGCGGGGCTGAAGACTTGGTAACCCATTTACGGAGGCCTGGGATGAGAGCTTCCGGCTGGTAGGAGGGAGTGTAAGAAAAGTGTGGCAATGAGAAGCTCACTTGGCCAGTGGGCCAGTGACCAGCCCAAAAAAGAGTGTTCACTTTTTGGTTGCCACCACTGAAATCCAGGGAGAGCCACCAAGAACAAAAAGTGTCAAATGTGTGTCCACTGGCTGAGTAAGTGAAACCAACCACTCAGAGTCACTGGGGTCTAAGTGCCCCGCTGAGAATCCGAGAAGGGAATCATCAAGGCACCAGTCCTGGGACTCACATGAGTCAGTGGGAGAGGTATCCCACGTGAGTAGCTTGTGACCGTGGGTGCTAAACACGCGATCTGGCAACGAATGCATCATGAATCATCCCCTGTGGGCTTCTCTTTGAACATAATACATCTCTACTCTTGGTATGGTAGCAAACAACTTTGTTTTTTGCAGACCCCCAGTAAAAATGAACAGAACCAAAAAACAAACAAAAAACAAACATGCCAAGAACAGTGAATAATAATAATTGTTGCACACGCTATTAGAGACATCCCCAACAAAAAAATGACCGGTCAAGCAGGTTGTAAATCATGGATGTAAGGGAACTAACCCGGTGGACCCCTATACGAGGCTAGAACCTACTAAGTGGGTCGAATATCCAAGTATCTGTCAAACGAGATCGCACATGCAGTCAAATTAGGCTCAATCAATATTATCTTTGGGAGATTGCCCCCCTGCAATGAAGGGAAGGAGCGAGGGGGATTCAAAAGAAAAATCCGAATGATGAAAGCGGACTGGACTTTTGGTTACCCATGACTCACCAGAAAAAAAATGCTGCAAACCCCTTCGAGGGTCATGTGCTTGATAGATTCCCGTTGAAACCAACAGGGGAAAATACAAGTGTTATGTTCATTTCAGCTGACTGGACGGGAAAATATCCAAAACCTACCTCAGCCCCCTCATAGTCCATTTTCCAAGGGGTGGGGATGTTTCCTAAAAAAACCCACACTCGACAGTAAAAACTCCCCTTGCTGACCGCCTGCGGCTCCCCTTGCTCAGCTTCCCTAACCCGAGCCGAATCGGTGGCCAACGCCCACCAGTCCAAGCCACCCACTAAGGGTTGCCTGAATGAAGGAGCCAAACCAATAATTCAATTACAAACCTTCTCCTGGAAACTTATCGGCTACCTGGCGTATGTCGTTGTTTTGGCTTTCCTTGCCGTGGTTGGAACGCCAGTGGATCGAAAGTTACGATTCGTCCTTCCCGTCAGGTCTCAGCTATGGCTCCCTTGTGGCGAACTTCTCACCTAGTGACAAGTAAGGATTTCGGTAACCTCCATTTGCTTAAGTCCCCCGGACAAATTAAACATATGTCCAATAGTGAGATTCCCTTCAAAACCAACTGGTGAAAATAAATAATATTCTAAAGCAAATGGAAGGTAATAAATCACGCACGATTTTCGAATCAGCTGCCTTCTGACAAATCGAGTTTTGTTGAGGGTGGGGGCAAGTCCATCCTGTTCAAGCCAGGTTTGGTTTTCATGTTTACAAGTTGCCCTCCTTCGTGGTGGATTCCCCTTTCTGAGGTTCGCCAAAACAAGGACATTGTTTGTACTTGAAACTAAACCGCCCCCAAAAAGGACAACCGGGCTCTGTATATTTCCCCTCTACACATCCCCCCACAACAGGGATCCTTACACTATACACCTGAACATTGCAACTTGTAAATGGTGGTGTCCCTGTATTTTGGTGGAAAATGCCATGTTTCAAATGGTTGCAAAATGGAGATCTTTTAAGGAGCCCTGCACAAGGAAGCGCACTGAACAATTTTGGGCCAAGGGATATTTCTGGGGGACCCTTCCACGGTCTCGGAAGAGATGTGATTCTCGGTCCTCTGTCTGTCCTTCATTCGCTCCTTCTCCAACCTGCGGGAAATGGCACGTTTCGCACAGCACCCCATCTTTCGGCGGGGCAAAACTAGGTCCTCCAGTAGAGAGGACCTGGAAATACCTGGAATAAGTTGGTACCCACTTTTTTCTGGACGTCTATTCTAGCTGGGGAGCCCTCCCCCTAAAGAAGTTGGTCAAAGGGCACCCAGCTGGGGGACCTAGAAAACGAGTCCCCTGACGCCTCCGAGGCTCAAAAATGGCGCTTCCACCACATGGGAGGGCTGTGGCCCTGAATAGGCCTGAATTCTAGGGGTTGATTCCGCATTCTGTTCAACCATCGTTCTTTTCAAAACACTGCCGTTTTCCCTGGGTTTCCGGAGGTTTTCTGGAAAGAAGGATCCCTAGAAAGAATGGGGAAGGTACCCCTGGATTAATGGCTCAGAATGGTAACTCGCTACTCTTAGGTGGGTTCCCTTGCGGCTCGGCTCGGCTTTCTTCTGCCCCCTTGGCTTCAGGCATAGTTCTTGGGGTTTCTTCACCTTGGGATCCTGTTGGGAGAACCATTCCGCTGGGTTTCCGGGCCCCTCTCTCTGTGTGTGTGTCCTTTTTGTTCTTTCCTGCTTTTTTCTCGGAGTTTACCTTTTTGGCAACGGCTTCTGTTCAGGGCAGCACCAGAAAGAAAAAACAGACAACAAAAACAACGTCGCCGTTTTGCCGGGGTGAGGAAGCGCATGCATCCCACGCGTGCCAAACCACCCGGGAGTCCCAAGCTAAGGCAAGCGCTTGGCTTGCCTCGCGCTCTCCGGCCTGAGATGCCGACACCCGGGGCCGGTGGGGGGGGCCCTGGGGGACGGTTGGTCCCTGTTGATCCCCGTTGATGCCAGTTTGGCCTAAGGTGGCAGTGGCCCAGAAAATGAAAAGGCAAAAGGCAAAAGGGACGCAACACTACCACCTGCATAAGCCTGGCTCTTTAATTTGAGCCACAGGTGGTTTTCACCACTAGTGCAGTCTATGGCGTGCCCCTCATTACCCGAATTCTGCTGGTATTTGAAGACAGGCCGCAAGGAGACCAACCTTTTTGCGAGACCACTACTTTAAGAAGCCCCCACTACCCCCCAAACCACTCTTGTTCTATCTATCTTGTTCCCTCTGCCTTTGTTTGCTTGTTTTCTCTCTGTCTCTCTCTCTCTCTCTCGCTCTCTCTCTCTCTCTCTCGCTCTCTCTCTCTCTCTCTCTCTCTCTCTCTCTCTCCCTCCCTCCCTCCTCCCTCCCTCCCTCCCTCCCTCCCTCCCTCCTTCCCCCTCTCTCCATTGCCATCTCGAGAGAGAGACAGCCTGGTTTTGATGGGATATGCAAGCGCATGCCCCGATCTTCCCCAAGGAGGTAGTGGCTTGTAGTAAAATCCATCCTGAATCTGGCTTGCGCCCTTGTGTCAATGACATGTTCCAATCCTTTCTCCCTTCGACGAGGAATGGTACGCGGCATGGTGCTTTGCAAGCAAACAACATATTTGCAAGGGCATCCAGAGTCCCAACCGAACCAATCTTCCATTTTTGCCGTTGCATGCAGCAGTGGCAAACAAACATCGTTCAAATGCCAAGTCGTGTGTGTTGCACACGGCTAGCTTGTTGTGCTCAGCAATGGATGCAGGGCAGGTGCCCAGTATCCGGTCAATGCAAGGCACAGCCATACCCTTTGGGCAGACTGGTGAAGGCATGGGTTCTACCCTTGCAGCTGGCAAGACTCAAGGAACGGAAAAGCAGGCAGAACCAAACCTGGACCCCAAACCAACGGATTCGAGACCAGGTCCGTTCGGCCGGCCCTTCCAACCTTGGACCCTCATACATCGGCCGACATGGAGTCCACGTCTCATTTGAACCTCAGCCCTCCATTTGGCTCCATAGGCTCCCCCACCACCACGGGCGGCGCCCCGGGTGCCGCCCCAGGCGCCGGCTCGTCCATCTTGGCCTGGCAGCAGCCGCAGCACACGCAGCACCCCAGCGCGCTGGCCACGATGCCAAGGACAACGGCGGCCCAGCCGAAGGCTCCGAGGTACACGACAAAGATGCCCAGCGCGTTGCACACACTTCCCATGGCGTCCTTCTCATCTTGCGTGCACTCGTAGCCACTGCAGCGCTCCTGGCAAATGGCATCCACAAAGGGCACGCAAGCGCCCATGGACCCGAAAGCCGGAATGATGAGGGAGAAGATGCCCAGCACGATGGCCACGGTGGCGATGATCTTGCCGTACTGCTTCAAGACCCCGCAGCACAGCGGCAAGGAAACCAGGATCAGCATGACCAAGGCCAGCGCCATGCCACCGAAGGAGCCGCCATACAAGGATGTAGTGAAGGCCGCCTGGTCGAAGTCTCCGCTGTTCGTGCAGGCCCAGGCTGAGGCGCAGCAGGCTGCCAAGAGCAAACCTCGGGACGACATGGCTTCCACACGAGTCACAGGTTGCCAAAGGTGAGAGCCAAAATGCTGACGTGCAACTCGCCGGTGTGTCTAGAGTAAGCTGGCATCTCCTATGACTCAGTCCTGCGGCACAATCTTGTTGTTTGCTATCTCTCCTTTTAACATTGGCTGCTATTTCCAACCTCGTTGCAGCCAACTGCCTCTAGGTAGCCCTAGCTTTGGTTTCTTTTAGGTTCCCCTGCAAGTACCACCCTTTATGAGGCGTCACAAGCCTTGGGACTGCCCTCAGATCCCCTGCTAAAAGTTTAACTTTTAGTGGGTTTAATGGAAAACCCCGCTAAACACTAAAATTCTAAAAAGCAAAGGGGACGGCTGGGAGCCACCCAGAAGCCATGTCCAGTTGACGTTTCTCGAGCGAAGCCCTGGAAACTTCGACGTACGCCTTCTATCCAAGGCACGTGGAGGGCTTTCCCGCCGGCGGGGTAGTGGACCGCAGCTGCGAGTTGAAGGACCTGCGGATCGGCGCGCGCGCCCGGGCAGGCAGAAAGCTGTCCCGTGCGGATGCCCGGAAAAAAAAAAAACCAAGAAAAGACAGAAACACATAGTGGATTGGTTGATGCCAGCTTTCTCTTCCTCTTTTTGTTTCCTGAGACTTCTTAATTCATTTCTAATACGCCTGAAAAAGGGTGGTTTGGATGGGGGAGTTGAACGCGTAAGAGCAAAGTGAAGATGCCCCCGAACCCCAGCGCCAAACAAAAGCAACATTAGGCTCTGCTGACAAACGCCTATGGCGTCACCAACTAAATATCCAGACACTTAAATAGGCCAACAAGGAGTTTATACTGCCTCCAACCAATCGAAATATCCGATCTGAATCGGTTGCCTTTGGGTCGGCTCAACTTCATCCGGACATGCTTGGGGACTGGAAGCTGGAAGCTAAGCTGGAAAGCTGCTGCTAGGCGGCAGGACCTGAGACCTGGAGACCCGGAGACCTGAGAAATCTGGGTGCCGGCGTTTTATTTGAAGACATCCAGCCCTTGGACGTTCCCCTTCCGAAGATGTTGCACATGAATTCTATGTTTAGCACCCAAGTGAGCGGGGAGCAAAACCAAGACAGCTAGCCAAATTCTCGCCAGGTTCCAGCTTTCTTCTCAATGCCGATGGTTGTTGCTGTAGTTGGCCTGATGGAACTGCACGCCCAAAGCAGAAGCAAGCGCTCGCCAAATCGCATGGCTGACAGTCGGCCCCGCTGTGGGGGCAAGCTCCATCGTGCAAGCGTCGTGCGAGTCAGCCGCCAGTTCTGGCGCCGTCCGTTGGGTCTTGCTGGGAGTGGTTGCCACCGAGGGTGTCGTACAACATGCCCGGGGTACGCTCATCGTTTGGCAGTTAACGAACGCGTGCTATAAGGGTCAAACGAGGGTGTCAAAATAGGGGTTCTCTAGACGTCTTCGTTTTGGCGTCGCCTTCGACCACCAACGAAGGGCCCCGCACCGTCTCAAGTCCACTGATAGATTGCCACTTTGACATCCACAGCTTTGACAACGACCAGAAGCGACCAGCAATGGCATGACACGCAGCCATCACCAGGGGAAGAGTCCAGGAGCTTTCCCACATCCCGGGCCAAAGCTGGGATCGGATGAGGCTCAAATGCGTATAATGACAGGGGAATCAACAAGATACCTCCATTTGCTTCAGTCCAACGAAGAACAAAACCATATATTTGCCAGTAGTGACAAATTCCCGTTAAAACCAACAGGGGAAATAAAGCATGTTCTTAAGCAAATGGAAGGATATTCAAGTCGTTCCTGCGGGCCGTCGGCCCATCAAACAAAAATCTAACGGCTCATCAAAGGGGGCCGAGTACTGCGGGGAATTACATACCCCTTTATCCACTACCTTCTTCTGCAAGTAGTATTCAGGCTTTTGGAGTTTACTTCGGTTCGGATTAACCACCTAAACCGGGCAGTGGGCAACTGGGCAACTGGGAGCCATCAGCTCGGCTAGCCTTTCTGAGCTTCTTTGGTGGCGGTTGTTCAGTGGCGTGGCCGCCCCACTAAAAATATGGTCTTCCCCAAAAAGGGTTCCCTTTTCTTCTCCAGGGGTCACTGAACAACTGAGGGAGGCTGCTGTTGTGTTTGATGCTTCAAGTTTCCAAATTTATTCTGCTGTTTGTTTGCCTGCCGTGCCTGTTTGTTTGTCTGTCTGCCTGCCTGCCTATCTGCTTGTCTGCCTGCCTGGTTGTCTGTTTGTTTTCAGCGCAAGTTCCAAATGATTAATTTGATGGCCTTTTGGGGAGGCAGGTCGCTTAAATCAATGGCATTTAGGACCATTGGTCATTCCAAGGCTGTCTTGCCGGGTGCGTCAGTCTCACTTTGCCCCTAGAGAGTCTCAACTACCAAATATGTATATACAACAGCATACAAGTTCTCACCAAAACAATTCCTTGTAGCCTATATCTGCACAATGCTGATGCCATTTTAGGTACGCAACCAACGATACAGCTCCCAGGCCCTGACAGCTGCAACAGCCCGCGAAAACAATCGCAACCAATTCAGGCCCACACACGTGGTTTGGTCACGCGGTCCTAGCACCCCCACCTATCCGTTCTCTCAGTTGAACCTTAGGGACCCAAAAAAATATGTGTGATTACCGTTTGCGACCACGACGAACAATGGACCCTAACATGACGATCAAAGGGTCAAAAGCTCGGCTTGGGCAACTGAGTTCTACAAATGCTTTGTCGTAACTTGGCTTGGTCTCTCTACCCCTACTTCCCCTTAGTGTGTCAACTTCCCATACATTTCACCGGACAAAAATCAGTCCAAACCAGGCTTTGGGAGTGACCTGAAATTACCCTCTTTCCCACAATTATGGAATGGAATTCCGGGGGTTGCGTCAAAGGAAAGGCAGTCTTGCGACCAAGAAAGCCTTTCGTCGCCAAACCCTCTGATCGTCAGCTTTCCTGATTCTTGGACATCGGAGGAGGCCCTTTATTATTCCCCTACTACATTCACCACGGAACCCCTTTTTAAGGGCCACCCACAAAGCTATCCTCTACACATGCATGCCTTCCGGGTCCTAATTTGTACAAGGCTCACTTCCCAAGTTCACAGGCCAAAGTCCTGGAACTTTTTGTTTACCACTAAAATGGTCCAGCCCCAAAAAGTTTAAAGTCCACCACAGGAAGTGACAAGGATCCCCCTGAAACGCCCTCGTCTTTTCGGGCGGGCTTCCCCGAAGCGAAGATTGGGCGCCCCGCTCAATCTTCACCTTCCGCGGGCCCGGCCTAAGAGGCGCGCGCGGCTTTCTCCATTTTTTTGGGGGGTTAGGTTGAACTCGCCTCTCGAGCGGACTGACTGAAGAAAAGGTAACCAAACAGTTGTTTCGGTTTGCCGCTAAAATGGTCAAAACTGGCCCAAACTGAGAAAAAAGGGTTAAAAAGGCTTTCCGGAACTCAGGGAGTGAGTACAAGGGAAACGAACAGGAAAACCACCACTTTCGGGGGTCAAAACAAAAGAGACACCCAAACGTCAGCTGTCTCGCAACCACAAACAGCGCGCTGGCTCCCTGTGTCCAAATTGCCATGTACGGCGATCAGGTTTCCTATGTGCGCCTGCCCCGTGACCCCACCAACAGGATGGCCGAAGGGGAAAATATACGGATCCGTGGAACAGCTGGGGGGCGTTTGCTTCGCTTCATGTTGGGCGCGGCAATGCTTCCAGGGAAGCCAACCAGGACCTGGGCGCCTTTGAAGGAAATCCCCCAAAAGGATAGTTAAACAGTAGTACTTGTTAATGAAGAGGCTTTCTCTACAAGCGGGCGTCGTAAGTCACCCCACGTCGCGTTAAGTCACCCCACGTCCTGTAATTATTCTTGTTGAACTTTCTATGGGAGGGCCGGGCAGTGCGTGGGCATGCCTGTTGTGAGGGCTTGCAGCTTGCACAGCCGCGGGCCGCCAACACTGCGAGCAAAGGCTTCGATTGACACCGTTCGTTTCTGGACTGCACCCATCCTCAATTCACTGACCCGCTGGGCTCGCCAAGGGAAGCTTGAATTCTTTGGGACTTGACTTCAGATGATGAAGAACAACCATATAGAGCTTACAGTCTGCCAACTCAACAGGCAATTATCATTCCGTGAGCAAGATATGATTTCTCCCAATCAAGAAGACAAAGCTGAAGTAGCCCCACAGTTTCACCGAGACACTGCTAGGTGTGTCAATGTTTAAATTGCCCGGTCAAGAGAAGCCGAATCTGGTTCTAACCCATCTTGGGGTCAATCCACAATAAAGATGACTTGTTGTAGGCCAATGAAGAATAAATCATATCCTTCACGTGGCCTCAAAAGGGGACATGCCGTTGATTAGTTGAGATATACCCGAAGAAATGCCGTACCTGCCGATGCTTGACATGCATTTGGCAGGATGCAACATGCAACATGCGTGATGTGAGGCTTCAAACAAAAGCATTGTTAGAAGGTTGTCTCAAGCGTGGATTGCCCAACAAACAAGACCGAACCTAGTGTTTGCCCCTCACAACGTATTCCGAGAAAGCGACCAATAGAGTCTACTGTCTACTTGACTCCAGAAACTCATGGAGAGAGCCTCTCACGTGGGTTGATGTCAATGGGGCTGGCTCATGTTCCCTCTCAAAACAGGGGAAACAAGAAGGGACTGTCCCAAAAGAGTTCCGCGTCTCGATATGGAACAACACAGAAGCCCTATTGTCTCCAATTTTCTTGGGGTCTCCTTAAGGGGTACGGGTCCAGTTTTTTGGTGGTCGAACCACTAGGTCAATGCAACACAAAACGACCATTGTCTTCCAGGAAGTATCTTAGTAGGATATATATATATATATAGATATTTGTACACATTTAAAAACAATGCTTCAAATGCACATTGATCAAAACACAGCAACGCGAAGCACGAGCAACACCTCTAAAAGCCCACGAAGGCATGAGCCTGAGCCCCACACGCCACCTCCGGCATCTGCGGCCATGTTACCGAGCCTCCAGGCCAAAGGGACAAAAGTCTTCAGCCCCATGCTTCTTGGGTGCCGTAGATCCCCCAGCAAGAAGTTTTCAACTTTTCGCTGGTTGCCCTCCCTCCAACAATCATGGAAGCTGACAGGAGGGTTTTGGAAGACTATTTTCCTTTTGGGCAACCCCTTTGTCCACTTCCATGATTGTTGGAAAGAGGGTAAAAGGACATGAGGGGTATCCAAAAACTATAAAAGTCGAAAGATCCAACCCAACAGCAGTAGAGGCTTGGGCATCCGCAGCACAAAACCAACAAAAACACATGGTTTCCCGATGGCTGCCCTTGAAGGCCATCCAAGAAAGTGGTGAGGGATCGAAAATGATATTCAAACATTCCGAAAGCTCCGAGACTGAAATGAAAATCAGGAAGCAGGGCCACGTGAGCCAGCTCAGAACCAGCAGAGCCCTCGACATTGGGTACTAAACAGGTGTCTGGAAAACATGACGATGTCCATATTCTTTTGGTTTCCTTCAGGAGAATGCAAACAACATGCTCAAGCTAGCAGCCATTGCCACCATGCCCTTACAGAACTCCTGGTAGTAGCTCCTTAGCGCCCATTTTCAAGTCACGTTTGGATATTACCCCCAGCTCACGGCTCTTTTCCAACCACCGCTAGGTCCTCCAGATTTGAGGTTAGAACAAGTTGGTACCATATCAAAAAAATGGTTTGTCTATTTAAGACACGGGGAGCCCTCCCCCAAAAAAGGGGTTAAGAAGGGCACCTGGCTGGGGGACCTGAACCAGCTGGCTTCCTGCCATCAACTTTGGAAGCACTTCCACGAGGCAAGTTCCCGGCGTTCCCGGCGTTTCCCTTTTTTCAGAGGGCCCAAGTACCCTCTAAGGAGGAACTTAGACCCCTTTTCAACCCCCCAAAAGCCATCCCCATGAAGTACTTGGACCCTCTAGGTGTGCCTAGTTCAGTTGCCCTTCGGGGACCTGGAAATCAAAAGCTGAGCATCTTTTGGGTTGCCATGACTTTCCTATCGACCCAAATGGGAAAACCAAAAGGTCAAAAGGTCGATTCGCTTTGAACTGAGCTACCCTTCACGCTTCAAAAAAGAAACAACCACGTTCAGCGTTCCTTCCATTCCGGTGTTCCTGCCATTCCGGCGTTCCTTCCATTTCTCACTTCCTCAATGGACTGACAAACAACGACCAATCTTTTTATTTGACACCAAAACGGGGCCAAACCCAAAAAGCTAGAAAACCATGTTTTTTTGTTTTCTCATGCTTTTGAAGGCTCTTGAGATGCATTTCGAGGCTACTACGCCGTGCTCTTGAGATGCATCTCGAGGCTTCTACACCGTGCGTACCCGGCAAAAAACCACCGTTTTCCCCGACCACAAGAAAGTCTCAGTTGCCCAAAGGACCCGGGAATGAAAGGTTAACTCGTTGGGGCCATGACTGCAAAAAGAAGCTTTGATCATGGCATGTGAACACAAACTCAACTGGGGGGTCTCAATATAGTGGACCCCCAAACTGCACGGGTGTCCTCTTGGTTTCCCTTATTCTTTTTCACTTTGCTTGAAAGGGAAACTGAGAGAAGCTGACCTTTTCGGGTTCAGAAGGGAGCCGAAATCGGAGCTACCAGGACCGTAAGGACATGGTAGCAATACAAAAGCCATTCGGGATACCCATTCGGCTCCGAGTCCGGGTCCCTGCCAACCACCAACCAGTGGGAGTGGTGTGGAAGTGCGGTGAACCTTTCCCCCATCTGGTGAAGCGCTGGAGATTTTGCCAGGCGCTGGAGCCCGTTCTTGGAGTCGAACCGCAAGATCTCGAGGAACAACTAGATTTTCAGACACGCCCATTTTAAGAAACACTCAACCTCGAGCATAGGCCCAGGCTGTGCGAGCCGTGGGAGCTCGTTCGGCTGGGCCTGTGCGTCGTGTGACGCGCGTCAACACAAAATGGGCCAGCAGATTCACCTACCCACAAAAAACAAAAACAAAAGGCATGGGGTTAGGAGCAAAGATTCACCTACCCCAAAACAAATCGACATGGGGTTGAGAGCAAACAGGCTAGCTGAGTCTGCGAATCTTTGGAGGGTTTTTGTTGTAGACCTTCGCTTTGGGCAAAACCAGTCCACAGAATAAAGGGTCCTGGTAGCTCACCCCTCACACTGGCCCGGGGTACACAGAAAATAGGATACGTTCAGCTTGTTTCCTGTTTCGCCTACCTGAAAATATAAAATGCGAAATGGAGGAGACTCCAGTCATGTCGCCCTTTCAGCCGCACGAGCCCATCTCCGCGCTTTTCCTCCCAGTCGGATCGACAACGAGCTTTTCCTCCCATCTCCGCGCTAACCTGGTGGGTGTGGCTCAAAATGCTCAAGAGCTGGGTTGCGCAGGTGTTGGTCTTGGTTTCCATCTACAAACAAAGCATTTTGGAAATTCCACTGTTTGGTTGCCACAGCCTGGCTAAAAACGTACTTTTTCTAAGTAAATTGAACACCCACAGGGCTCCCGAGTGAGTTCCCCTTAAAACATCACCCCCACCAAGGGAGACTCACATTTCATGTGCCAAAAAGGTGATGTTTAGCACCGGGAAATATAGAGACCCCTGACCCAAGGTGCGCCATGGTCCTCCAACCCTGTCTGCAGGCTACGGCCTCTCACCTGCTCGTCAGCCACTCCCACCTGTGGCTGATGCAAATGCTCCTGAAGAAAAGAAAATATGAGACGGCCTCACTACAATTCAACAAGACGCATGATTAGAGTGAGGGCCAGTTAAAAAATATTTATTTTATCGTTTGATGCACTTTGAGTCACTGGCAAAATGTAAATTGTATCCTAAGTCTACACCAAGGACATAATATAGGAAAATCCCTGCCAAAATATAGGAAATTTACACTTGGGAAACCTAAACCAGGACCTGGACATCATTTTTGACATGAAAACCCGAACGGAGGATACGAGTGACAACTACCCACAACCCATCGACTTGTTGGTTCTAATTCTACCAAGCTGGTTGCAAACCTGTCCATGGTCCTTACTGTGTTATTACCATAGCCCGACTTCCATGAAACCAGCACCCATCAAGCCAAGTAGAACCACCAGCGGTTGGCCGGGTGCTCCCGAGTCTGTGGCCAGATGTATCTGGCTGGAGCTGCCAAAGAACTTGTCTTTATCTGTTTGAAGCTACAGTTGAAATCGTTCAGCACGTGTCTTTGCTCAGGATCGTAATCTGTCATAACACCAAACTCGTGGCCGCAAGCGTACCATGTAATTTGGTTGATGCGGTCGTCGCATGGCAGAAGGTGTCCCCATGGCCTTCGAAAGTTTTCGCGATAGCGTCCATGCGCTGATTGGGCAGAATGCTTCACAGTTCTGCGCATCACGTGTCCCTTCCCGGGGCAGCTGGATGCCAGGTAGCTTCCATTCGCATGTCATTTGCATATCGGCATCAACACCTGCGTCGCCGATCATGACCATGGCCCCGTATAGTCAACTGGGGAAACTTAAAGAACAAACCTCAAATGGAAACAAACTCTTTGCGCACCAGCTCGACGCACCAGGGATCACCAGGGCTCTTCATGTTCATGGTACGAACCATTGACCCAATAAGCCTCATGCAACACTAATGTCCGCGCTTGGAAGGACAAGTGTGCACTACGCCGCCCTCTTAGATGTGATAGCGTGATATCTACTTGGTTGCTGTTGTGGGTTTAGTGGAAAGCCCAATGATTTCCCAAAAAGTCAAAGTCTAAAGATCCGTTACCCAATAGCAGCCAAGTCTAGGAGCCCAGGTGCAGTCAAGACGCAAGCGTGCCAACCACGTTTGTGGTGGCTCCACGCAGGACTCCAGCGGAGGGAAGCGTTGAGCGCGGAGAAGCCGCCAGTGATCATAGATGCGTCTGGTGGAGTTCGCGAGGTGGGCAGGTGGCTCCTTATGGAACAAGCCGTTGGGCTGTGGGAAATGGAATCCACGAATCTGTGATACACCAAAAAGGGCTTCTCAAAGACTAACCCCCCAATATACAGGGGAGATTCCCTTGTATCCGTTGATCCCACAACCCTGGAACAAGCCGTTGGGCTTGCGACAAGACCCGTCCGCAAAGATGGACACCCCCAGAGGATCACTTGGTGGGTCAGGGTCATGGCTCCCTGGACCTGGACATTGTTAGGCTCAGTTGTTCAGTGACCTTGGAAAAAAAGGGAACCCTTTTTGGGGAAGACCATTTTTAGCGCGGCAGCCACCCAAAAAAAAGGAAAGCATAATTGGTGCCACTGAGCAACTGTGTAGGTTGCCTAAGATCTCTATAAAGGGCTAATGATTCCTAGAAACCAGAGTCAAGCGCCCGCCCCTCCGCCCGCGCCAGCCGCAGGCACGGGCGCAGCTGGCACTGCCGTGTCCGCGACGTCCAGCACGAGGATCAGCCCCTCGATGGCCGGCGACAGGCGGAACCGGCGCTCAGCCGTGACCGAGGCCTCAGCGTGGACTTGGAGATTGGGTCTTAGACATAGGCGTCCTTCTAGGGGAAATAGATGGATTTCCCTGGTAGATGAGAAAAAACCACCAGGTAAACCAGGAATCGCCATCTATCTTTCGAGCAAAACAACCAAAAAGGACACCTATGCTCTTAGATCTCGTCTACCAGGGGGTGGGGGGCCCCCGATTCCATTTGGGAATGGGTTAAAATTTAAACCACCAGGCCGCGGGTTTTGGTCCATGTGTCCACTTACCAGGGTTCCATTTGGGGTACTGATTTTTGACCCACAGCCATTTGTCTAGCTAACAGGGAAATTGAACCACCAATGGAAATCGAAGAGTCTCCCCTACCTTAACTCGGTTGCTTTCTGCTCCCCTGCTGAAAGTGATTAACTAGTTGGCCCATGACAGGGAAATTGAACCACCAATGGATATCCAGGAGTCAAAGATGCTTCACATGATGTTTCATTCACCCACTAAGGAAAACGATGGGAATTGTATTACAAGACGCCCTTTTAATGGATGTGAATCCCGCTGTATACATGAACTTGGGGTGTGGATCCCTTCTGATTGAGCACGGAAGGCGCCGTAGAAAAGACCTCAGGACGACCCTTAGGGTAAAAGGCCCCAATCAGGTGCTGGAAACCCCGATTAATCATCTATTTTTCGGGTGCCCGGGTTTAGTTCAGAACTCTTGGAGGGGTGCCCCCCGTATTCTCTCTGTCTCGTGCCATCGGAATCCGTCCCGCTGGAGTGGGGGCACACCGGGTTTGGTGGCTTGGGGGTTTGAACCCCTTCCAATTGTTTAAGTCTAGTTGAAAGGTCCCCTTAACCTTCAAACTACACCAATCCGCCAATTAGGGGAACAGTGCTGAGGAAGCGGCAATCGAAAAAACAAAAAAAAGGCTCCACCCCACTTTATTTTATCTCTATATATATATATATATTTGTTACAACACAACTAGTCTGACATACACAACCCCCTTGAGGTTCCCCCTTCACTGGTGGTTTAAAGCCCCTGGTGGCTTTAAGCCCAACCAAACGCAAGTCCCGCCAAAAACAAAGACGCGCCACCCATTTCCCTTTAAAACCCAACCCTAGAAAAGGCCCACCCAGAAAAAAAACAACAAGAACATGAAAAAAACACGTAGATCAACCAAAAGGAAGCCCCCTAGAAAAGCCCCCCCCCCAGAAACTAAATAATGTACATAGCACCTTGGTGGTTTCAAGCCGCGCCGCCCATTTGCTGGGACCTCGCGAGCTGAGCCGCACGCCGAGCGACGGCCGCGACTTGGGACGCATCCAGCGCTCGCGAGAGGCAGCGCCGGACCACTCCGCCAGAAGCCAGTAGCACCAGGCGCCCCTTGGGCCGCAAGACGCGGAAGATCTCCTCGAGGCCGTGGCAGTTGGCCAGTTGGCAGTGGTCAAAGCCGTTTTGGGATCCCATTTTGGTTGGTAGGTGAATTCACCGCCCATTTTAGAACCTATTTTCAGTGGTTGGATTGGGATGTTCACTGGGGGTACGATTTGGATTTTGACCCCTGGCCATTTGGTTGCGTCGGCGTCGGGCGCGTCGGTTTTTTCCGGAGTTGGAACCAGTTGTCCGTTTGCTTTTTGTCGGCTTTTCACAAGGGGACCCACAAGGAAAACCGAAGCCATTTGGGGTGTGGGTCCAAATTGAAACAGAATATGGACCGCAGGTTGTAGTACCATATTTCTACTTGCCAGGGCAAGACATTTTGGGGGTACCCTATGCTTGACGCACAGCCACTTGGATGTTCGATTCGGCAAGAGTTGCAACCCCTTTAGTGTGTGTGTGTGTGTGTGTGTGTGTGTGTGCGTGTGTGTGTGTGTGTGTGTTTGCGTGTTTGCGTGTTTGCGTGTTTGCGTGTTTGCGTGTTTGCGTGTTTGCGTGTTTGCGTGTTTGCGTGTTTGCGTGTTTGCGTGTGTGCGTGTGTGCGTGTGTGCGTGTGTGCGTGTGTGCGGCTGTGCGGGTGTGCGGGTGTGCGGGGGTGCGTGCGTGTGCGTGGGTGCGTGCGGTGCGTGCGTGCGGTGCGTGTGCGTGCGTGTGCGTGCGTGTGCGTGTGCGTGCGTGTGCGTGCGTGCGTGTGCGTGTGCGTGCGTGTGCGTGTGCGTGTGCGTGCGTGCGTGTGCGTGCGTGCGTGCGTGCGTGCGTGTGCGTGCGTGTGCGTGTGCGTGTGCGTGCGTGTGCGTGTGCGTGTGCGTGTGCGTGTGCGTGTGCGTGTGCGTGCGGGTGCGCGTGCGCGTGCGCGTGCGCGTGCGCGTGCGCGTGCGCGTGTGCGTGTGCGTGCGCGTGCGCGTGCGCGTGCGCGTGCGTGCGCGCGTGCGTGCGTGCGTGCGTGCGTGCGTGCGTGCGTGCGTGCGTGCGTGCGTGCGTGCGTGCGTGCGTGCGTGCGTGCGTGCGTGCGTGCGTGCGTGCGTGCGTGCGTGCGTGCGTGCGTGCGTGCGTGCGTGCGTGCGTGCGTGCGTGCGTGCGTGCGTGCGTGCGTGCGTGCGTGCGTGCGTGCGTGCGTGCGTGCGTGCTGTGCGTGCGTGCGTGCGTGCGTGCGTGCGTGCGTGCGTGCGTGCGTGCGTGCGTGCGTGCGTGCGTGCGTGCGTGCGTGCGTGGGTGTGTGTGTGTGTGTGTGTGTGTGTGTGTGTGTGTGTGTGTGTGTGTGTGTGTGTGTGTGTGTGTGTGTGTGTGTGTGTGTGTGTGTGTGTCTGTGTGTGTCTGTGTGTGTCTGTGTGTGTCTGTGTCTGTGTGTGTCTGTGTGTGTCTGTGTGTGTCTATGTGTGTCTCTGTGTGTGTCTGTGTGTGTCTGTGTGTGTCTGTGTGTGTCTGTGTGTGTGTGTATGTCTGTGTGTGTCTGTGTGTGTCTGTGTGTGTGTCTGTGTGTGTGTGTCTGTGTGTGTCTGTGTGTGTGTGTGCGTGTGAGCGTCGTGTCTGTGTGTCTACGCGTCTGCGGGTCTGCGTGTCTGCGTGTCTGTGTGTGTCTGCGTGTGTCTGTGTCTGCGTATGTCTGTGTGTGTCTGTGCGTCTTTGTCCGTGTGTCTGTGTGCCTGTGTGTCTGTGTGTGTGTGTGCGTGTCTGTGTGCTGTGGGTCTGTGTGTGTCTGCGTGTGCCTGTGTGTGTGTGTCTGTGTGTGTCTGTGTGCCTGTGACTCTGGGTGTTTGTGTGCGCCTGTGTGTGTGTGCTTGTCTGTGTGTGTGGCTGTGTGTTTGTGTCTGTGTGTCTTCGTATCTGTGTGTCTGTGTGTGTGTCTATGTGTGTTTGTGTCTGTGTGTCTGTGTTTCTGCGCCTGTTCCTCCGCCGAGCCCCACGCTAACCTCTGGGCTGCTTTCAGCAAGGCAGCTCAATGCGCATTGAGCTGCCTGGAACTCCTCAGCTTGGCCAAAGGGTGTGGTTTACCCAAATGGGGAGAAAGTCTTTGCCACAAATGATGACTTTACATGCCGAGAAGGGGCGGGCAGGTATGTAAGTGTTATTGACGGGCAGCGTCTGCCCGCGATGCATGGCCACCCGCCCGGCGCGTTCACGTTGATCTGAGCACCTACTAAAAGACTGCGTCCCAACCGCTGGCACCTTAGCCGACAAGGAGCGGCTTGAAAAGCACCCACTCAAACAGAGCAGGGCCAACACATAAAGAAAGAGAGGACGCACGGTGACAGCACCTTTTGCTCACTGGCGTACGGGTGTGCTGGAGCCAGTCCTACACAGAGACATGGCCCTCTTGAACGACATCGTTATCAAATAACAATGGGTAAGCACAGATGAAGGGAAAGTCTTCCTCTTCCATCTGGAGCATGGTTAGACCAAGTCTCAACACATAACACCCACTGTTCTCACCCAAAAGAAAAAGAAAACTCAAGGTGTGCACCTGGCATAAGAGGCCCACACGCAGCTTCTCTTTCAGGCCCCGTCAAGACCCTTCCCAACCAACCTACTTTGACGGCTACAAACAAACTCCGATCTGTCCAGTGGGGGAACTTGTTTTTTGATGGTTTTGAAGGGAAAGCAAGAGGACCCCAACCACCTAGATGCCACGGTGAGCTGCTTGCAGCCCACGTGCCTCTGGTGGTCTCGTGGGTATTTTCTCGAGGCTGGTTTCGGTTGGCATTTTGGAATGTCACAAGTCTTAGACCAGCCCACCAAACTGAAGCCTTTGAACTCTCTGGGTCTGGGGGTCTATGAGTGGTTCACCAACAACCGGTCGCGAACCTCAAGAGATGACCCCCCAGAGTTCCTCCATGTTTGCTTTGAGATCCCGCGCAATGTTCCCCAAGAGGGCATATGCCCCTTAACACCGGTCTCTGTGTGAAAAGGATCCGTGTCTAAAACCAGGTTTCCATGGTTTTCTTCTTTCATAGAGATCACCTTTTACCTTCGAAATCTAGACAACGGTTTGGATGCGATTTGTGGATTTCAGCAGACTTTTTTAACCTCTGCTGGGGATTTGCCACATTTAGGCCGTTGTCTAGAAAACATGGATTGGCGTTTGCAGCTACAAGCAACTGCTATGCCCCATTTTGTTGTTGTGACACCTTTCTTGGTAGGGTGCAGTCAGCTGTTAGCATCGGACATCCTTTCTTGAGTGGTGTCGCTGCTGATGGAACTTCCTGTTCGGTATCTTCATGGTACAAACGTGATTGGACCACTGAAGGCTTTCGCCGCATCGCACCTATCTCTTTGCGGTTATGGTGCGGTCATCCGACGCGGCGACCTTCTCCTTCGATGATCTTACGCGCATCCAGGACACCGTTCAGTTGCAGATCGCCAACCGCGTGCGCCAGGAACAAACAGCTCCTCATTGACACCCGGCAACAACCAGTTCCTTTCCTATTCCGACTTCTCAACAACACCACATGAACTTGATGTTCGACCCAACGGGCAGTCCATCTTTGATGACGGCGTGGCCTGACAACAAGTTGGTGATTGTCGGAAAAGGTCCGAATGCATTGATTGTAACCTTGTTTGTTGCGCGGCGTGTTCATTGTGATTGATTCGAGTGTACTCGCGGAGTGGTTCAGGTTCGACTTGGAAGTTGGGTGCTGTTTTTGCCTTGTAGCTTTCGTGCTCATGGATGTTGAACATCAAGCACTTGATCTCGGAGGTGACCAGGCACCGCCGTTGGGGTGGACAAGAATGGGTCAAGATCTCCTAGTTGAGCTGCCTGGTCACCTCCGGGAGCAGTGTCACTGATGCCAGCAAGGTGAGGTATTCACTCCGGGAAAGAATTCGCTGAAATCCTTGACTCTGCCAGTCCGTGATTGTCAGGCATCGTAGTCGTGCCGCTGGTGCCACTGGTCATGTGGTTGTTGCCAATCATGTTCATGGGGTTGTTGACCGTCAGGCGGGACCGGCTGCCAGTTCCTGTAGCCGCGTTGCCATAGGACTGCATCACAAGGGGACCTCGATGCGGCGCACGGCACTCTATGCACTGTCGACAACTCCCTGATCAACCTCATCGGCCACTCCCCGCCGATGATTGGTGACTCTGCCCGACAATGATGCAGATGCTCATCACTCGTGGATCATCAGCGTCTTTGCCACTACATGGTGATCTTGCTGACCCGCCTCCTGAGCTTCTGAGTGTTGGGCATGGGGGTTCACGTTCCCCGCGCCGCTCGGGAATTAGGTTCGCTGTGAGTGGACTGCGTCTTCCATGGAAAAAGAGTCGTTCGCCCCTCATTGAGGGGCGTGTGTGTGCGGAGTGTCAGATTAACCCTGACACCACCTTTTCTCCATGGATACGTTTCTTTTCAGATTGCAGCAGGGCGCGTGGTGGTCTCCTCGTAGCCACGCCAACGAAGCTATCGAGGATGACTGGATGCATCAAGGGGCGCCTTGATGTGTACTTGCACCAGTTTTGCACTATCCGTTTGGCCCCTTGGTTTTCTGCTGTAAGTGCTTCTTGTTGGATCTTGTTACGTTTTCGCTACTAGACAGAAGCCGAGTGACTTACAAGCCGAAAACCCACCCACTCGAGACTCATCAGTTGTACTCGACAGATATGATTTCTCCCTTGGGAGTCCAAGTGCGTGTGCGAGTGTGTGTGTGTGTGTGTGTGTATGTCTGTGTGTCTGTGTGTCCTGTGTGTGTCTGTGTCTGTGTCTGTGTCTGTGTCTGTGTCTGTGTCTGTGTCTGTGTCTGTGTCTGTGTCTGTGTCTGTGTCTGTGTCTGTGTCTGTGTCTGTGTCTGTGTCTGTGTCTGTGTCTGTGTGTGTGTGTGTGTCTGTGTGTGTGTGTGTGTCTGTGTCTGTGTGTGTGTGTCTGTGTCTGCGTGCCTGTGTCTGTGTGTCTGTGCCCGTCTGTGTGTCTGTGTGTGTGTGTGTCTGCGTGGGTGTGTGTCCGTGTGTGTCTGTGTTTCTGTGTGCCCGTGTGTGTCTGGGTGTGTCTGTGTTTCTGTATTTCTGTGTCTGTGTGTGTGTGTGTCTGTGTGTGTGTCGGTTTGTGTCTGTGTGTGTGTGTCTGCGCACGTTTGTGTGCGTCTGTGGGCTTCCCAAAAAGTAAACAACCAGAAACTCAGGCAGTGAGACTCTCTCGCTCTTGTGCTAAACCACTACCAGGGGCTTACTGTGGGATATGAAGCGCACATTGGCCTTACACAACCCAGAAACAAAAGGTGATCCCCTTTTGAATCCACTAAAAAATGGCAACACAGAACGGGGACGCCGAAAGAAGGACATTTAAGGACGCTTTGCTTTGGGCAAGTGAGTCTCAGAGACGACGTCCTGGCACTCGTTGTTATTTACCACTAACAGTTGCAATAAAACCAAAAAAGTGACAAATGTTCATCAAGATAGGGGAGTGAGTAAAGGTTAAATATCACGAGAATGTTATCATCCCCCATTTGCTTAAGTCCCTGAGAAATACACATTTGTCCAGTAGTGATGGATTGCCTTTGAAACCAGCAGGGGACAACTAAACAAAATAGTCCCTTCGAGGTGCCGCAACAGCAAGTTGCGTGTGGCGTGCGAGTTCGAACAAACTAGCTCAAAGGTGAAAACTATAGTTCCACGGGATATCTCACTCATGAGAAGACAAATTGCTCCTCCTATTCCCCAACTCGGAAAAGGGATTCTACATCCCAGGGGCCAACAACTGAATAAGCTGAGGCGCCTAGAAATGTCATTGCTGAATTTGGCTGGGCTGTGCCTTGACAGCCCCAAAAGTTGCAGGGAATATAACAAGCGATTCCTGGCGAAATCCTCACTTATGGAAGGATTGCCGCAGTCTTCCGGTTGGATGCCTCGCATGCTGCTTGCGCGTCTTGCATGCACAGCGTGCACTGTTCGAAAACGGATAGTCCCTTTCAGCAAATGGAAGGGCACTAACGGAAAACACACCCACGTTGATCCATTTTGTGGAAATAAAAAACACCGACTTTGTGCCAAGTGGTTTCATTCTTGGTTGCTGTTGACCCCCCTGCAAAAAGTTCAACTGTTTGGGGGTTGGTGGAAAACCCAACTTGATTTCAACCAAACAGTTCAACTCTAAAGATCCGTTACCCAATAGCAGTCCAGCACTCATTTGCCCGGGATTTGATTGGGACGCGTCTCCTGGAACATCTTGCGATAGAAGTCCTCCAAGTCGCCTTTCACTCGGAACTGGCGGTTCCAGGGCGGCGCCGTCACCACCTTGTCCACCTCGGCTCCCGGCTCTCGCGCCCAAGCGCCCAAAAGCGCAACATGGATTGGCAATGCTGTGGCCGAAGAATTGTGTGAATTTAGCGGGAAAACCAGGAACAAGAAAACTTGACTGCTATTGGGTTGGATCTTTAGACTTTAACTTTTTGGAGAATAAAGGTGTTTTCCACTAAACCCCCCAAAAGTTAAACTTTTTGCAGGGGGGTCAAGAGCAACCAAGTAAATGTGGAGAACCTGGTGGTTCTGCAAGGGGCAGTCATCTGTTGCTGCCTTTTTTTCGAGCCGTAGAACCAAGGTAATCCTTCATTTACGAATATGTCTCCTGGAAAAAGTAACCATATGTTCAGTGGTGATAGGTTCCCTTCAAAACCAGCAGGGGAAACACAAGTTCGACTCAAATGGAAGTACCGGAAATTAACATGGAACCTGCTTGAGGGTCCTGGCAGCTCACTTCCTTTTAAGGGGCGCCCTGTCAAGTTGCATGTTAATTATTCTTGCTGGAATTAGGACCCCAGCAAAAACTGATCTTTTTGCCTATTTAGTGGAAAACAAACAAGACCCCAAAAAAGCAAAAAACCAAAAAGGGGAGCTAATTCTGGGGAAGTTACTTGGTAGGAGGGTAAACAAACTGGTTCACCATGGACTTGAGCCTTTGCGACAACGCGGGTTTGTGTATTCTGACGAGCCGCAGACTTGTCGCGGCAGGGGATGCCAAAAGGCCGCGTGACGTCGCCCCGTTTCAGGACGGCCTCGAGCTGCAAATCCCTCCAGCCCCTCAGCAGTAGCCATCACCCAGGTCTAATGATTTAGACCCTTGTTTCCTGCTTTGTGGTTGGCAATCCCCACCCCTACGGGGAAATCATGAGAGCCCCAGTGGTTACACATGATTTTCCATTTAGCCACCAAAGGAAACCATACAAGTTGTTTAAGCAAGCCCGCCTCCCCCCCCATCCTCAGATACCTGGAAAGCCCGGCGGTGCTGAATTTCTGCCGCTGATTGAAATTGCACTATTTTTCGCCGTTGCTGCAACAAAACGCTGTTTGTCCCGCAAAACGCCGTTGGAGCAATTCGTCAATATTCAAGGACTGCTGTGAACGGCCAAAAACGCCGGTTGCTCGCCAAAAAAAGCCGTTTGATTGGCGAAAACGCCGTTGGTAAAAATCAGTCGACCAGCTTGACCTTGCAAAAAGTCAGTTTCCCCCCAAAAACGCCTGGAGGCATAAATTAATGTTCCCAGTTTTCGTTCAAAAGGCGGAAATTTTACACAGCTTGGGATTCCCAGGTATGGGCCCCCCCCCTCTCTTTACAGCAACAATAATTCCGCCTTTGATTAAATTCTAACTTGGCGCCATAGGTGGTAACGCCATAGCAACCTAGTGCTAGTGCCTCAAAGTGACAATCTGGAGCCAAGAGCCATTCAGCGCAACATTCCTATGGCTCCCCTTGCTATGACTCTGGATTGAGTAAGTCAATCAAATATGACCCTGAAAACTACAGAGATTCATGAAATCCCGCCACCTCCAGCTAATCTCCAAACGCTTCCTAATCTTCGTCGCTGGGCCTTGCTTGCATTTGCCGGCAGGTCACCCCAATCTGCGGCTCAGTTCAACCGAAAAACATATAATTTTTACGTGGTTGGGGAACACAACTAGCGCACACTAGCTGCGCATGGGAAATGAAGACTGGGTGTGTTAGAGCAAGCTGAGATCCCCTACCTACATCCTTTTGAGGGAGCGATGGTTTCTGCAAATGTCATCTATCCACCGTGTTTTTTCGGTCGCGGTCCAGACTGACCAAAGAGAAATCGAAGGACAAGTCCAAAGGCAACACGTCCTTCAAGACGTGAAGGCAAGCTGTGGTTTGGCAATGATACAGGCTTACTAGACGGAGCCCTAAATCAGAGGTATACAGCCTCTTTTTGCCTTCGGGGTAAAACGGTGGATGGGCACAACTGTTGCCCAAAAAGCAAGCAAGCGCGCTTGCGCGCCTTTCGGCCCAACCACCGGAAGTTCTGGCGGCAAAGCTTCAGCTGCGACTTGTCCAGGTCGCAGCCTCAGATTAAAACAGCCATGAGGCAATAATGTTAACACCCGACTAATCATGGGGCAGTCAATAACTGAAAGTGTTTCCCTTGCTATGGTTCGCCCCCATTGTTACTGGGGACCAGAAAAATGAAAGTTGTTTTGTCCGGGGGAAAATTCAAAAATATCCACAAATCAATTTCAAACCACATTAGTCTGCAAGCCCCCAGCCCCCCCTCCCAGAAAATAAACTATCAGTTGCTTTACTCAGAAGCATTCCCCTTTCAATCCTTCTCTCCTGGTGAGTTTCTGCCTCCTGGCTAGGCACTGGGGCTGAACAATTGACCCGACCCTGATTCTCCATTGGATTTTGATCAGGCGCAAAAATGGTGGACATGAGACTTCGGTGGGGACCAAAACGTCCACCTGTCATCATTGGGCCCAGTGCAAAGGGGAATGCTTTTAAACAAGTGGGCCACCAATTGAAAGGGGAATGCTTTTAAGCAAGAAGGGATTAAAACTTTGGAAGGGGACTTCCCAAGAACCATCGGTTCCCCTAACCCTAACCATCATTGGTTGCCGAAACACAAAACCCAAAGCCAGCTGACACCTCTGAAATTTGAAAACCATCCCCAGCCCTGAAACTGCAAATTCTTTATTAAACCGTGTTTAAAACAAATGCACAAAAACAATCAGGACGAGGGTGCCCCTCACAGACCCCACTGAACCACAACAATGAAATTCTTTCCAGCCCCCCCTCCCTACCAGTTGCTTTACTCAAACGCATTCCCCTTTCAATTGGTGGCCCACTTGCTTAAAAGCATTCCCTTCAATAGGTGGCCCACTTTGAATGGCTACAGCAAGAACTGAAAGGGAAGTGACTGCACTACTAAAGTAGTACTCAAAAAAGTCCGCTCAGGAAGAAGTGGCAAAAAGGAAGTGGCTGCAATACTAAAGTAGAATTGGGCCCCAAAATTCTCCATTGTTTGGACGTCCCAAAAGTGAGCCTACTTTTTTCTACCGCCTCCATTGTTGAGGGGGGGGCCCTTTACTAATCAAGCGCCAACATTACCCTGGGGTTCAGTTTCCACCACTAAAACAAATGGGGGAAAAGAGTTCATCATCCAAATTGAGTCAACCATTTAATCTCAGTTGCCGGTAGGACCCAGAAATAACATTTGGGGCCGCAACCCAAAAATATCAAACATGGGGAACCCAAAAGGTCAAAAGGACGATTCGCTTTGGACAACTGAGCGAAGGCATGAGGCAATATAATCTCTTTAGGGGCCACCCAAACAGAGGGGACACTTGAATGTTCAACCCGCGTGGGTTATAACCAGAGTTGTCAGGGACGGAAAAGGACTGGAGAAGACTGAGACCCGGGAGGGGGGGGGGGAGGGCATGTGTCTTAATGAAGGGGAACGGATGAACCTCGGATGCTGCGAATGTAGACAACAAGCCTAAACATCCCAGAACCCCCCACTTCAGCACAGGTCCGAAACCACAAGCCCAGACAAGGAAGCGGCCCTTTCTATAAACATGTTGAAGCCACTGCTGTTGAAACCCTTCTTTCGGCTTCCCTTTAAAAGCGACCGAGTCTCGTTTCCTTTTTTGCAGCCCTATGTTGCGATCCACAGGGGTGGCTAGATTTCCACCTCAGAAGTCGTCCAAAAAGGAGGAAATGAGTTGGCGTCAAAATTACTTGTCGGGGGTGTGTTTGTTCCGAAGTTGGGACGTCCCGAATCGTTCTCCAGGTTTAAACACTCCTACATGAAGTAAATGACGGTGATTTTGAAGCCGACTCAAACGGAGCTCAGCCCTCCTCCACCCCCAAGCCCAATCGAATTCGTGCGGGGCTGCCCTGGAAGGTGGCGTCTGGGAACCAGGTGGCTGCCTCCAGTAGCAAGCTGCCCTTGCCGCCTCAAAACCAGTTTAGGGCGTGGCTCAAAATTCAAGAGCTAGGGTTACGCAGGATTTCGTCTTTGGTTCCAGGTGCATTTTGGTGCCGGTTTTTTGAGCCACAGCCGTGTTCCATTTGCCAAGGGTGCCAATTTGGAATTCCGTTTTTTTGAGCCACAGCCTCAAAGTTTGAGGCGCTGAGAAGCGAAACCCTGGATCGTTGGTTTGGAGCGGTGCCTCAAAACCGCGGGCCGTGCTCGTTTTGATTCTCTAGTGGTGTGGAGCTCAGGGGGTAACTTCCCATTCTCCACTGTAAAACACGGAGACCATTTAAAGTGTAGACCATTCTCGCCTAATTTCGTGGAGAAAGGAACCAAAGTTGACTTTCACAATTTAAAACCAAAGGTTCGACTTTGCAATCCGAACCACGGACCAACTTGGAGTTACCTCACTGACAGTTGCTGGGTTTTCATATCCACCTGCAAAGGGGAGGGGGCAGTGGTGGCTCCCCCAATTCGATTGTAGTCTTCCCAACCCCCACCCAAAAAACAAAAACAAAAAACGAGGCAACATAGGTGGACATCTGAGTCCACACCAGGGTGAACGTAGATGGCATAATTCCCTTCACGTGGGTAATTCCGGGAATGCTAAACCAAAATGCGAGAACAGTCCGAATAGTGCCATTTAAGTTCAGGATACCACAAAATGTGGGCACGAGGTCCTTCAGTTCCCCTTCTTGCCTCGCAAAGCTCGTTTGCCTGTCATGACAGTTTACCTCTAACATTGAAAGAAAACGCATTTGCGAGTGTAGACCATTTCCCTCTACCAATTGTCACTGTGAAAATTCACTGACCAACTGGGGGAGTAACGGATCGGACGTTCTTTGTCATGAGGTCTCAAGCCTTGGATCCCTTTGTGAGGTCGCGATTCAATTTGCACAATTTGCACATGCCAATTGGGCGACCTGCAATGCTCACAGCACTCAACAGGCTTGCTCCAAAGAAGAGGTCGGTGAAAGGCAAAGTGAAAGCGACCCAAGCCTTGCAATCACCTTCTGGGGCCACTAAGAATGGACCAGAATCGGAAAAGCGAAAGGTCAGATCCGGCCGCCAGCCGATTCACTTTGAACAACTGGCCCTCAGGACGAGGCTCACATCGGATCCAGCACGACGTCTCCTGACGGGACTCCGGCCAGTTGGTTCACTGGCAAGTTTCGAGTAATGGAAGGGGTGCCATGGGGAGGGGCTATGCCGAAATATAACCCCTTAATGCGTGCCGTACAGGCCCATGTTTTGAAAATACCCTAATTTATGCTCTCTCGGTCTTAGGATCAAAGTCTAAACTAGTCTGAAGTGGTCTTCCCAAAGCTGGCCAAAGCTCCGACAACTCAGGGTTTGGTGCGGGTACCTGGAACTTCCCCCCACCACCCGCGAATTCCGCATGCCCCCCCCCCCCCCAGCGAGTTCCCTTTCTTTCCCCGTCTGAACATCACCCCAGCAAAAAGGGATGGGTGAAACTGCTCATTTACCACATGTCAATGGCAACCAAACCCAAACAGCGACTAAAGTCCGAAACTGAACTCAGGAGGCGAAAACGGTGAGACTCGGACCTCGCATTTCACAAAAGGTGTTCCAACCAACCCTCCCCCCAAGCTCCAGCTCCACCTTCCCTTAAGCCCACCCCACCCCCCACCCCACCCACCTTCACCACCTCCACCTACCCCACCCACCTCCACCTACCCCACCCCCCACCCCTCCCACCCCCCACCTCCACCACCCCACGCCCCACACCCCACCCCGCCCCACCTACCCCACCCCACCTCCCACCCCACCTACCCCCCCCCCCCCACCACCGCCTGGCCGGATCCGCAGCGCTGCCGCCATGGCCCAGGCCTCCACATGGCCCATGGCCTGGTGCGGCCAGCCTCCGCCCAGCACCGCCTTGCCGTGCTTCAGCAGGGCCACCTGCTGGGTGGGTCGCTGGGTGGGGAGAAGGTGGGAGAGGGTGGGGTTGGGTTGGGTGGAAGGTGGGGTGGGTAGGGTGGGGTGGGTAGGGTGGGGTGGGGTGGGAAAGGGGGTGGGGTGGGGAAGGGGGTGGGGTAGGTGGTGGGGTGGGGAAGGGGGTGGGGTAGGTGGTGGGGTGGGTAGGTGGGGAGGGGGTGGGGTTGGGTTGGGTGGTGTACGGTTGGGTGGGTCCTACTTTCCTTGGCCCAGTAAGAGACAAAGGTTCACATTCTGCTTCCTCAGTTGTTCAGTGCCCCCGGAAAAAAAAGGAACCCTTTTTGGGAAGACCACTTTTGGTGGGGCAGCCACCAAAAAATAAGGGAAAAAGGGCGCCACCGCTTCAACCGAGCTTCATGATGCTGGTCTACCATCAAATGCACCTGGTCTCCCCTGGTTTGTCGAAAATCAGTGTCCGAGATACAGCGGGGTCATGCCCATGACCCTACCACTTCAAAGAAAGCCCTCGGTTCCCACAACCAGTTTTGTTTCCACAATCATGGTTTCCGATCGGATCATTGGTGTTGAGTCAAAGGTTCGGAACTGCACCCTTTGAGGTCTTCCCCTCCGAAAATTGAGGTTTTTGGAGGAGTTAGCCTCACAAAAGGGCCAACATTGGTGGTTTATGTATATGCTGGATACGACTTTGAAGCTGTGCCATCTATTTGATGTTTATGATTCTTGGTGTTTGTTTTGGATGAATACCCACAATTTGGAATTGGCCGTGGGTTCAATCTATATAATGATTGGATGCAAATGTACTGGTTATGTACTAGCAAGAAATGGATTACGGATGGCAAATGTAGACGTGTAACCTTCATGGTACGACCCTGGATCTGTTGGCTCAGGCGATTGGTGGCGTGACTTGTCTTATGCCAACTGTCAGGCGAGAGCCATGGAGTGCCATGCTGGTCAATCGCTCGCCTGTGGCCATGCGTACCTGCTACACCCTAGAGTTAAGCCCACCCGCATACCTGGATGCCCTAGCGTCCCCTGGCCACGGCCGACTCACCTGCCCAGAGCCAGAGTCCAGACCTGCAAAAGAGAGGGTGGCCCTTTTCAACTTTGACTGCAAGAGTGGCAAAAAAGGAACCGAAAGTGGAAGGAAGAACCAACTCACTCAAAAAAAAAAAAACGACTTTTTGGAATGCCGGAAAACACAACAAAAGAGGTCCGCAAAAAGGACAAGCCAAACGCTGAAAAGGTCGCCCAACCTCCAGCAAAAGCCGCCCCGACTTCACCTTCGCGTGCACCGTCACGTCCGCCGTCCCTGGGGTGGGGTTGGGGGGGGGCTGTGGGAATGATACCACTTGGGCATTTGGGCTTCCCAATGAGCTGGCTGGCTCAGAACATCATGTTTCAAGATTCAGCTTGATATTTAGCCCAATTAGCCTAAAACACAACAATTCCTTTTGCTTTGGAGACCCCACCCAAAAAATGGGTGGGTTTTCCACGTCGGCTTCCCTGTAAACCAACCTCAACATTCAGACCCTTGGCTGAAAATGGCCCTTGGATTTGCAAGACTTGGAGATCCCGCTCTTTTTTCAGCATCCAGTGCATTCCCCTACGACCCAAAAATTGGTTGGAACAAATTACTTCAACACAACACTCTCTTCAAAATTGGCAATTGCCGGGGTAATTCCTTTTTTTTAATGGGTAGTTGGGGGGTCCAGGTAGCTCACAAATTCCATCGGCATTCATTGCCTATCACCAGCAAGGTGAGAGTGCGCCATTCTAGGGGTTGATCCAACCGTTCTTTTCAACCATCGTTCTTTTCAGTAACCGATCGCTGTTTCCAACCTTAGCTTTTGATGGTTTCCTGGAAAGACTTGCTGGTGCTCAGCGGGGAATGAGGGAATGAACCTGGGGCTCCCCTTAAAGGAAACCACAAGAGATAGGTCATTCCGTTTCTCATTCCCTGCCTATCGCACCAGCAGGTACAAATGGAAGGGGGGGAGGGGGGAATCTCCACGTGGGGGGTATTAGTAGCATACATTGGGGGATCCCCACCCCCTCCCTCTGGCCCGGAAGGAGGGATTATTGGCAGGGATGTGCTTGATTTAGAGGCCGCGAGCCGGATGCAGAAAAATGAGAAACAACAACCCATGCACCCGCACGAACACAGGATGCATTCCTTCACTGTTCTTGGCTCAAGCGTTTTTTTCGTTTTTGGGGCTCTGATCATTTCTGGCCGGGGGCTGCCAAAAAAAGATCCTTTTTAGTCGGGGGCTGCAAAACAAAAAAAACATGTTTTTTGCTTTGATCGTTCCGGCCATGGGACCAACGCCTTTCGGACGCCAGGCCCACACCGAGAAACCGAGAGCAGCCCAGGCGCTTCCGGGCCGCTGCACGCGCCAGGCGAAGCGCTTCGCCAGGCACCGGCTGAGCTCCTGATGAGTCGAGTCGGAGCCGCCTGGAACCTCTGCGTTAAAAGGGACCTGTCGCTGTCGTCTTCTTCGGTTGCTACCTGGGCCCTCCAAATTCCCTGAAAAAAATATGAAAAAATGGTACTTGCCCCAAAATCAAGTTTGTGAGGTGAATTCCTTTTCTTCTGGGTAGTTTGAGGGCCTTTTTGGTTGGTTTTGCTGGGAAACTGAAAGGAATCCACAAACTTTCTTGGGGGGGGGGGGTCCGAACTTCATTTTGAGACAGATCCAAATACAAACCATTTTGGTAAGGATCCCCCCCTGCTCTGGAGAAAATCGCATATGTTCAGTAGTGATAGATTCTCTTCAAAACCAACCATGGAACACAAAACATACTGTGGATGGACGAAATCCTGCACCACCTAAGAAACCCTGACATGATGGTTCCCCTGTAAATACCAATGAAAAATGGTTTACCATGGTTTCCAAGTGGTGCAGGATTGTGTCCATCCACAGTATTATTTAGCAGCTGGAAAACCAACAGGTGACTTCGATTCGCTTTAAACATCTTTAAGCCCGATCTCCTGTGCCAGCTTTGGGCCGTCCATTTTTCGGAGCTTCCGCGCCACCACCCGACAGGTGCGCAATGAGCAGCTCAATTGGCCCAGATCCTGGTCGTGGGGTCCCGAAGGACATTGAGACCTGGGCTGCCCTCAGATTCCCCGCTAAAAGTGAATAACTTTTAGTGGGTTGAATGGAAACTACCACTAAACACTAAAAGGCAAAAAGCTAAGGGATGGCTGGGAGCCACCAAGAAACAAAAGGTGATCGTCTTTTGGACGAAAAATACGGGAACCCTTGGGGAAACCGGTCATTGGGTCGATTTGCGGTGGGCAACTGAGTTTTAGTAATCCTCAGAATCACCCTCAAGCCCCACGCTGAGTGCTCAAGGTTGATCCCCTATTGTAGGTTTAGCGAGAAAATTCCGTTTGTTTCCACCGGGTCTCATGGCAATTCGGTCAGGTCAGAAATGTGTTTTTTGTTTTACTGCCCCTAAAAGTGACTTGGATCATTCCAAACACATCGGGACGGGACCCACTTTACTTGTCATGTTGGGCTCAACTCGTTAGTTTCTGTTTGGCGCCCCGTTTCAACCAACCAAACAAACAAAGGTTCCAAAACAAAGGGAGGGGGATCATTTTCGAACACCGATTTTGGATCATTTTCGAACACCGATGTCCTGGATCATTTTCGAACACAGAGTGGGTCATTTTCGAACACATGGGGGGCTATCCTGCGGCAGGTGGGGCAGTTACGTTTGCCTCTTACTGCGTGACCGTGCCACTGCGTCCTGGGGGTGGGGGTGGGGGTGGGGTGGGGCAGTTCCGTTCGCCTCTTACTGCGTGACCGTGCGACTGCATCCTGGGGCTGGGGGAAGGGGGTAATTGCGATCGCTGACTGCGTGACGGTGGAACTGCGTATTGGGGCTGGGGGGGGGGGTGGGGCGGGGCAGTTACGTTCGCCTCTTACTGCGTGCCCGTGCAACTGCGCCCTGGGACTGGGAAAAGGGGGCCCCGAGTCCCAAGTTACCTTGGCTTTTTCAGCTCAAATGTCCTCGGCGATTTGCGCTCGTTGGCCCCCGTAAAGCCGTAAAAACTCGGCCTAACGGCCGTAATAACTCGCGCGGGAAACTGAAAGGCCGTTACTACTCCGTGAAAAAGCCGTGAAAACTCGTGAAATTTCAAGCTCTGAGTTATCTTGTCCTCGCGACACAAAAACCTCCTTAGCTCATACGGCCTAAGTAACTTGCGAATCGGAGCCTCCTGGAATTGCGATCGCCGCTTACTGCGTGGCGGCGCAACTGCGTTTTGGGGCTGGGTGGGGGGTGGGGTGGGGCAGTTGCGTTTGCTTCTTGCTGCCTGACCGTGCGACTGCGTCCTGCGGCTGGGGGGGGGGGGATGGGGTGGGGCAGTTACGTTCGCCTCTTACTGCGTGACCGTGCGACTGCGCGCTGGTGGTGATGGTGGTGTTGTTGGTAGTGATGATGACGGTGTTGATGATGGTCATGGTGATGATGATGATGATGACGATGATTATGACGATGTTGATGATGCTGATGATGTTGTTGTTGATGATGGTGATGTCGACGTTGATGTTGATAATGGTGATGATGTTGTTAATGATGATGATGGTGATGATGTTGATGTTGACGATGTTGAGGATGTTGATGTTGTTGGTGATGATGATGATGGTGATAATGATGGTGATGATGGTCATGTTGATGGTGTTGTTGATGATGATGATATGGATGTTGGTGGTGATGTTGATGATGGCGATGATGATGTTGGTGTTGATGTGGATGAAGGTGATGTTGCTGGTAGTGATGATGACGATGTTGATGATGATGATGGTGATGATGATGATGGTCATGATGATGATCATGTTGACGATGTCGATGTTGATGATAATGATGATGATGATGACGATGATGATGTCGCTTTGCGTTCCTTGTGCTTTGTGTTCCCGGGTCTACAGTTGACGATTGTCTCCCAAAAGCACGGCGCCATCCATGTGCTACACGTGCATCGTGGTGCGTGTTCGTGCGCCTCATCGTGGTGTGCATGGACACTTGGAAAAATGGCCGTGCTGCTGTAAATCACATACACTTGAGGAAAACCGCGTTCAAAAACGAGCCAAAACACGCGTTCAAAAACGAGCCAAAACACGCGTTCAAAAACGACCACCTTCCCCAAAACAAAGGGTTTCCTTGGGCACGTTTCCCTTAGAGACTGTGGAGTACTGTAAAACTAACTTGAGTCGTGATGAGGAACAAACTCTGTCGCTGCACCATGGCAAAAAGTTGAACTTGTTTGGTGGTTGGTAACCACACATTTTTGCACAAAGTGAAAAAAACATAAACATTCACCAAAATAAAATAAGAGTTCCCCTTTCTAGAATCCCCCCTTACCCCCCCCCCAACCTGGCTTCCAAATAAGTTGACCAGTTTCCGAGTGGGTTTGTCACACAAAGCTGCCAATGCCCATTCTTCTCCAAACAGTTTTCTCAACCCAAAACCAAACCTTCCCGTAGGGTAAGGGGAACTGGGGGCAGTGGGAAGGAGGGGGTTGCTAGGGCCTTAGGGGAGGGGGCGCATCCCATTTTGGGGCAGCCAGCCAAGACAGGCCAGGCCTGTTGTGAAGAATGGTCTTCCTCACAGGTTTTGCGGCTTGACCTGAACCAGAATGCAAACTTGGTGTTAACATGGCTTACCCAAAGCCATATACAGCATTACAAGTGCGGCTGCCCTATTTATGGCTGGGACTATTTGACTACTGGCTCACCTTCATCTACCGGGTATGGATTGTGGCTCACCTTGGTGCCACGTTTTCATGGTTTGCCAGTTACCCAACAAATACCATCGAATATTAATTGGGCCTTTGGAATGAAAAAAGCCAAGGCAAACAGGACACATGTATTCCTCAAAAGTTTGGGACAAACCAACCCACACCTACATGGGGGTTCATCCAAAAAGGTTGATCAACCCATCTCCCAAACACCCAGGTTGAGATCCGCCTGCAGGGCATGATTCCAGTCAGCCGCCTCCACTAAACGCTCAGCAAGTGCCTGGCGCGCCAATGAGAGAGCACCAAGGTGGGAAGCGGTTTCGGTCACGCTGCACCCTTTGTGGGCTAAGGGCTTCAGAAAATACACCTCATAATTATAATCTATATATATATATACATGTTGGCAGACCCCCCGGGGGCCATGGGAAACAAAAGCACTTGTTTTTGGTAGTTGACTTCAAGGGAAGCCCCTCCAAAGTAAAAGGAAACATGAAAGCAAACCAACTGGGCTTGGCTCACTTCTGGGGTACGCAGCACACTTCATGCTATTTATGAATGTGTTCAATACTTGGTTGACGTTGGAAGGGGAGCCAAAAAAAAAAAATTAGCAGTTAAGTGGGGATTTCAACCACTAAACCACAATGAGCAAAAATGTATAATGTTTCCCAAAAGTTGGTTCGGAGACCCCAGACCTGCAGCCCTTGAAACTCGGCTCAGATTCCGAGGCTTCGTTCCAGGGTGCCAGGCCGTGCCCGAAAACGCTTCAGGCACTGCCTATGCTGAACCGGTGCAACAAAAAAACCACAGGGCTTAGAGTTTCGAGGCATGGCAAGACAAACTGCAAATCTCAAGCCAAACCATTCTGCCCAACTGACTACTGGGCTCCCCGATCCCTTCCATCCCAAAAGTGAGCAAGCCCTATTAGCCAGACCTTTCGAAAGGAAGCCCTGGTCCAACCAACCGACCACTCTAATCATCAGCTTCCCTCTAATCGGTAGTTTTGGATTGATGGTTTGGTAATTAAGGCGGGGTGTCTCAATTCCTGCTACAAAGGCCAGGGGTTCAAATCCTCGAATCACCAATCCAATCCACCAACCAAGTGTTACCTGAATTTAGCCACTCAAGCAGCCAACCAAACAAAACAAACCAAACCAAGCCAAACCACCCCCCCCCCCCCAAAAAAAAAAATAAATCCGCACACAGGCGCAGCGTCTCGATCGGAATAAGCCGCGCAGATGCGGCCTCCAAACAAAACCTGATCCATCCCCAGGCCCCTTGCCAGACCTAGGGACCTCAACGCATACCTATGCAATCCCATACGTATACATACACATACACTGCATACATAGAAAGAAAAAGAATAAAAAGTTGCATACAGTACATACATGTAGTCATTTGGGTATATGCACGTTCAATTTGCGCATACTCCTCTGCAAACACGCATCTGTTCAAGGCGTTTCACGGCCACCGCCTCAGCGGGCACCGCCTCAGCGGCCACGTCGGACACATCGGCCACCAGCACCACAGAGCGGATGTTCGCCACATGCCGCACCTCCTGGGACGAAAAAAGGATCCGCGTTATGGCAAGAGGAGGGGTCGATACCCCAGAAGTACTTGGTTCACGTTGGGTTAGGGGAGCAAACATTCTCAATTTTTAGCAGTGAAGTGGTTGGACTTCAAACACAAAACCACAATACGCAAAAATGTCAAATCTTTCCTAACAAGAACCATGATTATGTGTTTTCACCATGACTATTGGGGTTGGGATTAGTTCGGGAGAGGTTGGGGGGAAGGTATCCCATGATGTGTGATGGGTCGTGATGGGTTGGCATCCTGGGACGACTGAAAGGAGATTGCTTCAGTCGGTGTGCAAACTGGCAGCTGGTTTGGAAGGGAAACCTTTTCCAAAAATCATGGTCCAACTCTGGGGTAATTACGCTCGGCCGAGTCCGCCCGTCCCCCCCTTCCGCATGCGGCCCAAGCGTCGCGGAGGTCCGAGATGTCGCAGGTCTCCTTGCGGTCGAAGTACCAAGAACCCCTGGAGAAGCGAAACCGCGACGCCACCTTCCAGCAGCAAGGCGCAAGGCGTGCCCCCCGCCCCCCCCACTTGGTGCGATTTTCATCCCCAGTGGGTGTCCACGGGCATTGAACACAAAACCGCCTCACAAAAAGGGTCTGGATGGTTTCCTCTAGCCAATTGGAACATGTCCAATCCCCCGCCCAAGTCACCAACCCAAACCACAAAATAGCCAACAAAAGGGAAGCTGAGTGCCGTCAGACCCATTTGGTAGTTGTTGAACATGATTTTGCAAGAAACACATCAACTCAGTGGTCCCCTGTCGTCCATGTTGGAGAAAGGCCACAGCGCAGTTTGTTCCCAAAGGGTTTTCCCCAAAGGGTTGGTTTTCCCTAGGGGACCGTTGGGGTATCTTCTGTTGGGGACTTACCTTTACAGGTTGGCTTTCCCAGGCCTAGAGGAAAACCTGTGTGATTCTCAGGTTCAGATTTGGCGTCTCAAAAGAAGCATGGTGAAGAGAATGGAAGATATTTCAACCCTTGGATTTGTGGGATGGGTGAAGAGAATGGAAGAGAATTCAACCCTTGGAGTTGCAACAGCTTACATCTTTGCCCTTGACAAATATGATAAAAAAAAGAAATCGACATGTTTGGCATCCTAGGTTTAGGCTTAAACGAGTTTCAAAGGCTCTCAGAACCATTGACATCTGGGTGTGTTTTTTTGCCGTTACCCCTTTCTTGTGGGAAACCAACAGGAACACCCACCCGTTTTTTTCTTTTGCAGTTCCTGCCATTGGTGTCCTTTTAGGGGAAATAGATGGATTTCCCTTGTAGATGATTAAGCCACCAGGCAATTAAACCAGGAATCGCCATCTTTTTTGCAAAGCAACCAAAAAGGACACCTATGGTTGTTTCGATTTCAATGGGCGCCGTTGCATTCAAATCAATCGGCGCCCTCCTTTTGCTTAAGTCCCCTGAACAAAAAATCTAGTAGTTATAGATCCCCTTGAAAACCCAACAGGGCCAAAAAAAACAAAACCTTCACCAACTGGAAGGCGCCAATTGGCTCAAGGCGCTCCCGGCTGGCCAGTTGGTTCAGCGGGTCCCGCTTCCGCTCCGACAGTGCCACGGCGCTGAAGTCCCCCAGGCGCTCGCAAAGGGTGAGCCCCGCGGCGGCGACTCAGGGGCTGAGGTTTCTGAGGGGTTTTGTCATAGGTGTCCTTTTAGGGGAAATAGATGGATTTCCCTGGTAGATGATTAAACCAGGTAAACCAGGGCCATGTATTCTTCTAGCAGAACAACCAAAAAGGACACCTATGGGTTCTGTGTGATAGAGAGTGAAACTCTTTGTTTGGCACCAAAAGGTCCAAGTCCAAACCTCGGGACATGCGAAGGGAGACTTGGTTGACGTTGGCAGGGGAGCAAACATTCTCAATTTTCAGCAGTGAAGTGGCTGGATTCCAACCACTAAACCACAACAAGCAAAAATGCAAACTGTTTCCCAACAACAACCATGTGGCTGGGGTGACAAAGAGATGCAGTTCGTGTAAATCTGGAAGCTGTGGACCCGCGCCACGGGGAGCTGCAGCTCCATTCTTACCCATGTGGGTGCTTATTCGAGTCCCGGGGTTTTTGTATTACCCCCCTTGGATTTGATTTGGTTGAGGGTTTTTGCTTACACCCAACCCTGGTGTTTGATTTTTTTCTGCGGGTTTTTGGCCTCTTTGATTTTACACCAAGCCAAATGGCCCGAGGGTTTCTGAGGCTTCCTTGGGAAATGACCCTTGGAACGGTTCAAAAAAAATTGCCACGGTTTTATATCCGGAAAAATGCGCCTGAATGGGAAACATATCACGGTTTCATCCGGAAAAATGTGGCAAATCAAATGGGGTCAATTTCCACTGGGTGTATCAGGGAGTAAGAATCCTTAGAAGAGCTTGGGGTGCTCCCTCCCCCGCTCGGGGAGGATCGGGGGGGCCTTAAGGTTCCAAGTTGTTTTTTTGTGTTTTTGAGTCAATGTTATTGATACTGTTTTTTGTTTTTGATTTTCGTTATGTGTTACCTGAAAAAGCTCTAAGGTTTTCAGACCTGAAGAAGCTCTGGCTCTTGTAGAGGGTAAATGGGAAACTATCTTTCCGGCTTCCCTCTGATTGGTGATTTGGATCTAAATCGGTGGGTTGGTGGTTAGGCGGTTTCCCACTTAGACTCTACAAGAAGCAGGGGTTCAAATCCAAACCCAAACCACCAATCCAAGCCACCAACTAAGGGCTACCGGTTCTTGTTTAGAAGCCAACCTGAAGACGCCCGAAGGTTCTACGACCTTTCTTGGCTTACTTGGATCTTCAACCAACTTGGGTCAGTCTTTCTGTCAGGGTTGCTTGTTTGTCGTTTCAAATGGAAAACAACAGGAAAACCACCATTTTCGGGATGTCTTCCAAAAAACACACCAAAAAAAACAAAAACAACGCACCCACTTTAGGTTACAACCCCACTTCATTGAATTGACCCTTTTGTTTACCACCAAATCGTCCTCAGGAACTGGGAAGAAATTAACCGAAGATAGCTATCTACAAGAAAATCGTTATAACCCCCTTGCCAATCACCAAGTAGCGCAAAACACACTTCATGTGCTCAAAGGTTGATTCTGCAAACCCTTGGATCAGAACCCATGGCAAATTGTGTTGGGACCTTCTGGTGGCGGCTCATTGCCGGTAATGGCACTCAACTCTGGGTTCACACCAAGGGTTCTTCTTAGGCCCACACATGCTGGCTCTGATGAGCCAAGGTCAACAGAATACAAGGAGGAACGGCGACAAGCACTACACTCCTCTGATCATTGGAGTGCTCTGGTTAAAAGGCACGGGTCCCACAACCCCATTCTCATTACTTGGACTCTTGTATGCGATTCCTGAGGGCGCAGCAAAATACAATCAAAGGCTCGTCCCTTGGTTTTTGTGGTCGACATTTGAGGCTTGTGGGTGTTTCCTCAAAGGGGAGGCCCTTGAAAGAAAGCCAATAATTCACTCCCTGCGCTCCTGGACTTTTAGCTTTTGTGGAAAACCATTTAGAGTGGTACACAAAAGGTTTGGACTTTTTGTTGACCCATCCACTCAGGAAGTGAGACAGAATGGCCCTATACTAGGCCATACGGATCCTACTGCAAAGAAAGAGACAAGTTGTTGCTGACGGCGAGGAAAATGAAGGAACACCACAGAACCACCAGAATTTAAGGGGTTGATTCCTCGTTATCTTCACCCACTTTCTCTTCAGCAACCACCCACTTCCCCACCATGCGAGGGGGTCCCCGCAAAGCGATTCGGAATTTGTCTCAAAATAGGGGACCCTCCAAAATTGGCTGTGTTCCTGTTGTTCCTCTTCAAAACCACTCCCAAGAAGGACGCATACAGTCAGCAAGAAGCAGTTAAACTAGTTAAACCAAAAGGCACAGTTCGCGCAGGTGGATTTCAACCAGGAAACTGGCGGAACATCCACAATTGGGACCATGTGCTAGTGATTGTTAGTCACTATAACTCGGCCATCTGAAATCAGCAGACCGCCTCAGGAAAGAGCACCTCATGGAGGTCATGTTTTTGTTTGCACGTCCCCATCCCGAGCTGGAATCACAAGCCCCCCGTCAAACCATGGGAACTGTACACGGGACCCCTCACTACAGGTGGACCCCAAGCAACATAAGTGGGGCAAACACCCAGAACCACCTGATCCCTGGACACATGTGGCTCTTGGACCTGGGTTTAGCCCCATCATTTTCAGCCCCTCAGGCATCCGTCCTGATAGGCAAGCCAGTAGCGCAGCGCAGCGCCTGAGATCACCGTGACTACCCGAAGTTCCATCTAGTCCTCATCTAGTCCTCATAAGAAGGGGGCCCGGGACTTTAGACGCCTTCTTGGGGGAAATTTTTACTTGGCGGTTCTGGAGGGTGTTTAGTGCTTTAGTTGGTTTGGTGGCTGTGTTTCCAGTTGGGTTTCTGGATGCCATAACTGGAGATCTCCAGGGGCCACCCCCCGTCCCCCAATTTCATGTTTCAGGGATGCCTTTAGAGCTAGCCCACTCCTCACTTTGCCAGGTGCCATTTGGGTGGAGCGAGCCTTTGCTCGCCAACATCGTAACCGACATCACCCCACTAGCAACAGATTGATTGGCCGGGCACTGATGAACTTTTGTGTCGCAAACCACATCCCTTGTGAGGTCACTTTGCTTTGATTGATACCGGGGCCCTTTGCTGGAAGGTTGCTTCGAAATAAACGTCGGCCACGAAACATGATTAAAATGCCCACGGCAAAATACGAGCTCAAACCTACGGCCATGGCGAAAAAGTCACTGCACCAATTGGTTGGGATTGATGCAAAAAAACAAGGGAGGCCTCCTCAGAAAAAAACAAGAAAAAGAAAAACACTTTCAGCCCACTCAACTTCGAAACGTTGAGCAGGGGAGCAGAAAACAAACAGCCATGGCTGGTGACCGCGTTCTCCGGCGAAGGGAAGGGTCTTGGTCCTGGAGGCCTTCTGGTGGCAAACAGGGGCCAAGGAGCCCAACTCTGCGAGTAAAACAGGTCTCCAGCCGTCGTTTTATTCACCAAGCTGGGCTGTCCGTTTTCTGCTCCCCTGCTAAAAGTTTAGAAGTTTCGTGGGCCAAATGGAAACCCAACCACGAAACCAACTACAAAACAAACCAAAAAAAACTCCTGGGACAGCTGAGAGCCGTCAAGTAAAAAAAACATCCCCCAAAAAGTGCCTAGAGTCCAGGGATTCAGGGAGAGAATTTTGCTGGCGCTCCACCCCACTGAAGTCCCACATCGCCGACCGCCGAAAACCTCGGCCTCGCCATGGCTCGCGAAGCAGTGCCATGCTAAGGCGCCGATTTGGGCATTGCGACAAGGGATCTTCACTTCTGAGTGCCACTGGAAATGGTACAAACTCTTTGGATGTGTCGTGTTTGAAGGGTACCCCACAAAGGGATGGTTTGTCATTGTCATGTTGGCTTCCCTTTAAGCAACCATACAAAGGGTACCCCCAAAAAAAAAACACATTCCAATATGAAGTCGAGGAACTCGGGGCGTGAGGCGTTGACCCCAATTTAACGGATTGGTGTACTCTTGCTGATTGAACTTCTGCACAGTTTTGGATTGGCAACCATTCTCTTCTGGTTGCTAATCAGAATCTACAATAATGTAATATCGTTGAATGCTCTAGGTTAACAACTATGGGGTAGTGGAAGCTAAGGACCTATTAGCCCCTTTTTGATTCATGGAAGTGGTGTCCCAGTTTCACTTTGGAAGGACACAAGCCCTATTTATCACCAGGTTTTTACAATCCGGGGCTGACAGTATGGATTCTTCACTTCTGCCGTGTAGTTTGACTTGTTCAACCAGCAGAATCAGGTAAAGTCTTGGTTTGGAAAAGAATTGGACTTCGTAGTCCCAAAACGGCGGTCCTTTCCCCAAAATGAGAGATTCCTCTAAAAACGCACCATGATGTTTTCTCATTCTGTTAATCTGCAAAGGGGGTAAACATGTGTCCGGTACCCCGAGGCCCTACTCCAAGCATTTTGTTTCGCATCACTCTAGCCGCCATACAGGCGGAGCATTGGGGGAGCATCACTGCCGTGTTGATCAGGGGCCGATCTTGAGCCCGGTTGGCATGTGCAGTTGGCATCTCTACAAGGTCATAGGCGAAAAACCAACAAATCCGGAGGCGAGCTAGGAGAGACGACTCAAACTTTTGTTTAGCAACTGGGAGAGGGTTAGGTGGGGTAGAACCTTTTTCCGAGACCAGGCGGCCAATGCCCATTTTGAGGGCACTCAATACTTCCAGACCCAATTTCCCATGCATCTACTCAGGCACCAACGCGCACAAAACCCAGGGACTACCTTATGAAATGGTTTCTGTAGATGTCCAGGTTTGGGAGGCTAACTTGCTGCTGGCCAATAGGGAAAGTGAAGGCGCAAACCAACGCCAAAGGCCCGGCATACTTGTTCCGCACTTGGGAAATAAGTTGCCTCAAAGTTCAAATGAAAATGGGGCATGTGTACCTTTTCGGGGGCGCATGTTTGGACATCTTCCTCTGCTCGGTACATCTGGGCACCACTTCTCAGGGGGAAACAACCCGTCTGAAGCAGCCAGGTCGGTTCACTCAGGGTTCCTCAAAGGGTACATCTTGGCCAAGTTAAAAGCCTCCCTTCCCAGGTGATTCAACTCACTTAGCCCAAAGGGCGTGGAAATAACAGGTCATCACCTTTTGGAAGCAAAACGCCAAACATATGTCAACTTGATCCGACATGCGTGTGGGTGTAACATGGAACCCGCCACTGGCCTCTTTTGGCTGAAAATGATGCAATCCACCAATGACCAAAGGCCTCTGGATTTCCGTATCACTACGACACCTAGCAACCTGGTAGAAACCCTTCGGCTCACTAAGCGAATCGACCCGTTGACCGACCTTGATGTTTTTTTTTCCACCAGGAGTTGGACCCGCAAACACGGTAGCTGTTCTGTGTGTTTCCGGTTAAAACTACCAAAGGGGTACCAACTCCAAACCAAGACACCCCCCATCTAGCAAAAACCCTAAAGTGCACAACCAGGCAAGGTCGGGTGTCTTATGTTCAGGAGGTTCCTCCAAAGCCAACAGTCGCCCACGCCCCAAGCGCCAAAGAAATGCCCCAACGAGAACTCGCCTGCGCATGTTCGCGTCGCTGGCCTGAGCGCTCATCGCGAGGTGGGTTCAAGGAACCTGCTCACGGAATTCCCCTGCTGTAGGGGGGAGGCGGGTGGGGGCGCCCCAATTCCATTTATCTAGTCTTCCTCAAAGTCTTCCCAATAAAAGGGAAAATGGAACCAGGAATGGATTTCCAGGGGTTGCCCCCCTCCCCCAATTCCATTTTTCAGGGGGTGGGGATCTCAACCAGCAAACACGCACCAAGGGGACCTCAGTTGTCCAAAGGACCCCAATGCTGGTGCGATAGGTAGGGAATGACCAGTCTGGGTGTTGGGAATTCATCTAGCGATTCCCTCAAGAGAAACCAAAAGGATGGTTTATAGGGATCAGTGCCTCATTCACTGCTGAGAAGCAGCAGAATGAAAGGTTATGTAAGTGTTTGGGGCCATGACTAATAATGGGAACCCAACATAGGAAACACAAGGTCAACAGGCCAGCCTTTGGCAAGTAAGGGAACCCAAATGGGGGTCGGTTCACGTTGGGCCTTGGTGAGAAAGGGGGCGCTGTTACCCAATACTTGGTTAAGACGCCTGGCAAAAATAAAAAATATGTCCAGTAGTGATAGTTTTCTTTTAAAGCCAACAGGGAAATAAAAACATATTATTAAACAAATGGAAGAGCTCGTCCGGAAATTGCTTTGCCTGGCAACCTGGATGGGCTTCGTCTACCTTCCTGTTGTCGCTGTCGATGTTGCTTCCTTGCGCAAGCGGCTAAAGAAAAACTGTTCACGCCACAAAGTACGGTGGATGCGTGTTGCAGGTAATGGAACCCTCCAATCTACAGTACCGTGATTTACTGATTTACCATGCTTTTGTGGCTCCGTATGGTGGTGTATTTACAATATTTAGGTCAACCACCGTGAATCTACACAAACCAAGCGCTGGCAAGCTACAGTTGTTTAGGGATTCTCCAAAGACCCGATGGTGGACATGTCATGT